AGTTTGCAAATATGGAGTCAGCTATGGCACTTACACCCAAACGTGCTAGATCTGAGAAGAAGTAAAAGAATTTGACAAAGAAAGGTGGCAGCAGTCATACTTCTCAAAAGCGGAGCAAGTCTCGTAGGCATAATCTTGAGAGAAACCAGTGTGTTTTCTGTTTAAATACATAGTAATTGGAAGAAATATTGTTCGAAGTTGAATGAGAAGTGTAATGAAGTTGCATTAGAGGCAAATACCAATATTATTGTGGAAAGATGTGAAGAGGAGGATTCTGATGTATCGTTATATGCAGTTTCCCACAATTTATTTATAGATATTTTGTGTTGGATTCTTGACACAGATTATCTATCACATTTATTCTCATCGAGGGTACATTTGGGTGTAAGTTATGATTTATATTGTAGATGTTAGCACCATTTTCCTGTTCAAGAGACACCACAACAAAATAGGATGATAGAGAGGATGGACCGAACTTTGGTGGAGAAAATTCAATGTATGTTGTCCGGTTGGATAGAGTTTATCGGGTCAAGACCATAGACTATGTCTGTCACTTGGTGAACTGTCTACATTCTACAACTATTAGGAAGGAGACCATAAAAAGAAGTGGTCGGGGCATTCTACTATAGATTATGAGCACATGAGATTGCTTGGGTGTCCATCTTACTACCACGTGCAAAATGATAAACTGGAATAATGAGCAAAGAATACGATCTTCTTTGGCTTCATGCGTGGAGTTGAGGGCTTCAAGCTGCATGACTAGTCAGAAAGGAAGCTTATCATTAGCAGGGATGCTACATTCAAAAGGCAAGTTTGTTGAAAAATCAGGACTCAAAGTAGGTGAAGAGTTCTAATATAACCACATATATGCAATAAAATTTAAAGTTTGATGCAACTCTATTTGTCCACAAAGTTTGTTCACTCTGACTTAAATACCTAATTTAGTTGTAGCTTAAGAGGTATCTTTTGTTAGTGATCAAGAGGAGAAGAAAGAAGATGCTGAGAATGAGATTCCTGCTCAGGAATCTATTACTATGAGAAGAACCAGGCATCATAATGTCTTAAAACCAGCTTGGTTGAGGGATGATATTGCATTTTCACTTTCATCCACGGAGGCAGAATTTCCTTGTCTCTACAAAGAAGCGGTGAAGGTCCCTAACTATGATTTTTGGAGAGCGGGAATGAATGAAGAGATAGATTATCTTCGGAAGAGTGATACTTGGAAGTTGGTGAAACTTTCTCCTAAAAGGAAAGCCATCAGATGTTAATGGGTGTATGCAAAGAAGAAAGGATCTCATGAAGCTAATGTGCAGTACAAGGTAAGATTAGTGGCAAAGGGGTTTGCGTAGCAAGAATGGATTGATTATGACGAAGTGATCTCCTCATTGGTTAGCATTTCTAAATATGTGTTCTCTTATCACTTTTAGCACAATACAATATGATCTTAGAACATCTCAATGTGGAGGTTGCATCATAACACGAAAAATTGCAAGAGGAGATCTATATGTTGCAACCACCTGAATATGGAGTATCAAAAGACTTGGTTTGAAAATTGGACAAGTCTTTGTATGGGTTAAAGCAGTCACCACAATGGTGGTATAAAAAATTTGGTGTTTTCAAGAGGTTCAAGTATGATTCAACAAGAAAATATTGGCAAATTGTAAAGAGTATTCTAAAATATATGAATGGTACACTTGACGCTGACTTATGTTTGATAGGTAGTCATTTATTGCAAATTATGTATATGATAAACTGAGTCAAACTGTGCACATGACATGAATAGAGGAAGATCTATAACTGGTTATTTATTCACATGGACAGAAGTTCCGGTTAGTTGGAGGCCGGTTCAGTTCTTTATTCTATTACTGCTTTGTCTACTACGGAGGCCGAGTATATGTCTGATGCCAAAAGTGATATAGATGCAGGGTCAATTAGATAACTTGGGAGTTGATCAGAAGTCTCTGACGATGTTCTG